GATGGAAATTAGCAGGGAAGGAATTGATCTTTTTATTGTCAGTGTCAAATTCGGAGGTCGTGGGTTTGACTAGCACCGAGATTTTTAAAATAATTTCTTAACTCAAGCTGAGCTCCTTCATTCGGTCTGCTCCCGCGAACGCCCAGTGGGAATTTCTGAGATTATGCGTGACTGTTAAATTTAAATGCCATTAGTTAATTCTCTCTTCTATCATTTGATTTACAAGTGCTGCTCGGCTCAACATTTTAAAGTAACATTTTTCCTCTTTGCCGCCATTTACTACCATAATGGTATCCCCTGACCTGTCCCCATCAGGTCATCTTGCTCAGTCGGATCAGTCACAGTAGCCATGAGTTCAATTCCCACCACGGTTCAAAGAGTTTTTTTCTTTTCTTCACCGTGTGGTTTTCATAATTCGTGATGTTTTACCCAAAATATTCGGGTTTTTTTTTCATTTGATAGTTCAATTCAAATCCCTTAATCATTATTCTGCTCGGCATTCACTCCGAAGTTTTTTAAAATAGTCGTAGACGACATTAACACCCAACTTATGCAAGAGAAATAGATCTTTCAATGATCTTCAGTTGACACCCAATTGTTGGCGGTTCAATCAGGCCGGCCTGAGAAAAACACGACAAAAAACATGTATCTTTCACAACAAAGCTGGATGATCGATTTCGCCAGTAGACAAATAAAAGCCTAATAAATTCCCAGCAAAGGGGAAAACGGAGGAATGAGAGCAATCAGAGCATACTAGCGGAGAGCAGTGAGAGCTTGAACTAAAAAGCTGTAATTTAGCAATCGGGTGCATAGGACGAATCCTCGCATTTTCCTTTTTGACGTAAAGCTTTTGCCTTTTTCCTATTGGTTACACTCAAACACGAGGATTACATTTTTGAGAAAAGCCCATGGCTACTTTGTTGTCTCCTGTTTATAAACCTATGGGAAACTGAGATAGCCTACGCAGCCGCAAGGAGGAAGGTCGCGCGCTGGTACGAGACTAGGGACTTTAAGATACGGCGACTACGGACTACGAACTACGGCTGGACGAGCGTTGTCCTTTGTTTGTAGCACTGGGTTGAGTCGTGCAAATATAGAACGTTAAGATCGCACTACATACAGTAGACTACGAGAGAAGAGGCTGAGAGGGAAACAACACGCAAAGATTTTCTTGTTTTCATGTTCAGTTCAGAAAAATGCAAGTATTTTGCATATGATCTTATCTTCAGAATAATGAACAAATTCTTCCATACTTCGGGAAGCAATTACCTCGGGAGAAATTAGTGAACAAAGTTTTGGTTTACACATTCTTTTTGTCGCCCATGAATACTTATGTCAAATATTAAAGAAATAAAAGAAATAGGAATAGTTCATTTATTAAGATTTAAAAGATGGACTTCTGCGATTACTGATGCAGTTTGAAGTATCGAAATACCCAGCCGTTGCCATTATCTCAAAGATGTTTACGTCATTTTTATTCAGCAGATGCGATACAACTCGCATAAACAAAGGTTACACAAGTAGAAAGACACATTAATCACTACGAACAAACATTATCATTGAAACTTTTCAAGTGCGAAGAGAAGGTAAATTACCTTCATGATTTCTGTTCTCGGCCGTCAATCTGAATTCTGCGCATAAACAGCTATTGAAGCTTATTTCTAGTTTTAGATAAAAATGTAGTCATAACGTTTAGTGGTTCGAGTATATTAAAAGCGTAAATCTGAGCAGAAATTAGACACAACTTACATATTTCGCTTGCCTCTCACTTGAAGCAGGTGAATTGAAAACTTTTTTACGAAAAAAGGAGATTCTAGAATTACCGAGAGGGCAAAATACGAGCAAAATGTTCTCCGTAGTCCCGACTACGCGAAACAGCTCAACAACTCACCGTAGCCGCTGGACTACGCTGGAAAAATGAACAGTCACGTGGTTGTGATCATGCGCAGTAGCATGTTTGTTCGTAGTCGTAGTCCGTAGTCTCCGTACCTTAAACTCCCTACTATTGCACACAAGGAAAGAGGACACGCATGTTGCGCGCACATGGCTATTCTCGGAGCAGGGTTTGGAACGTTCTTTACAACCCCAGGCCCCCCATTATAGGCCCCGTACAATATCAGCCCCCCCCAATTCCAAGCCCTCTTATATCAACCCCCCATTTCAGGCCTCCTACCATATCAAGCCCCCCACAACTGGCCCCCATTCCCGTATCAAACCCCCCATCCTAGGCCCACCATTCTAAGCCCCAACGATCAATACGAGGCCCCACGTTAATAATTATAACAAGATTAATAATAAAAATACTCGATAATGATAATAATAATAATAAATAATATTAATAATAATAAAATTCTTATAACATATTTGGCGAGATAGTGACAAGGCATAGTCGGCAATCTGAAAATTATATCTCGTCCCTTGACTTGCCTACATGTCGAACTCAAAATTTTACTCGAGCGCAAAGCGCGAGCTAAAAATTCTTAATGTTTTAGAAGGCAGAGCGCTTGAGAGAGCCGGAAACCAGAAGTTTATTTAATAAAAATGTTATGCTCGCGCCATGCGTCACGCCTATTGCTCTGTTCTCTCTGTATATTTTGATTGTTGTTGTTGCTTTTAGTAGTTGCCTTGTGATTGCTTTGCAAAAAAAGCATGGAAGTGCTAGTAACAATAAAAGTTCAAGACTACTTCATCACTCTATTTGTATTCTGTTCTGGGTTCAATGTAAATCTCTCTTTTGTAGATGAGGACGTCACTCTGATACCCCGTTAACGAGGATTACAATCGTTTTTTACCTGCACCAGAATTGAAAGACTATAGAGGCCCTAATTATTTTCGACTTACCAAAATTTTGTAGAAAAACGTGCATGGGTTAAGTTCGTTTGTACCTTGTGACCTAAAAAAAAATTTACTTTATTTTTGTGACAAGCTATTATAGGGTCGATGGGGAACGTGTGGTGGAAACCTTTTGGTTGGGATTAGTACTTCTTGCATGATAAATTACACTCGCTGTACACTGATAACCAGATGACCCCGATGAGAGAAAGATTAATTGAAACGTCTATGTGGATGATCGACTTTCTCCGAATTCTCTTTTTTTAGTAGGGAAGTCAATGTTCCTTTGTGTTCCTGTGTTCGTGTTAGACGGAACTCTTCGTAACATCTTCGGAAGTGTTCGGAACGTCTTCGGACATCTTCGGATATTGTCGGACCCATACAAAAGATCTTGGCACTCTTAAGATAAAAAATGTCACGCCTATAAATGTAAAAAGGTTGGCAGGTATACTACCTGACACTCTGTCAGTATGTTGCTACAAGCAATGAAAGTTAGATTGTTAATGTTATACACTTTGGTACAATATTTTCCCAATTATTAACAAAATAATAACAAATTTTAAAATTTCCCTGTTGTTCTTGACATTATTATTGGCCACTTTCACACGACAGACGAGTGGAAGATTCGGATAAATGGCGTCAGACAAAAAATTTGTCTTGATGTGAAAAGGGAACGGTTACTTAAATTTAGGACTAATAATCCGTCTGACCTTAACTGTCTGCCGTTATCCCTCAAGAAGGATAGTTAACCCGCCTCTTTTGTGAAAACGGCTATTACTTTTATAGAAACAAAGTCGAAATATAAGTGAATTACTGGAAACCCAGCTTACTATAGATGGTAGGTCGGGGCCTGGCTGGGGCCTGATATGGGGTGTACGGAACGTTCCAACCTTAGTAGAGGGGGGTAAAGGGGGGGTCCTGCGCACGAATCACGGACATTAAAAGGTAGAAATAACGCATTACGGGGATTAAAATTCCGTGTTCACGTTTCACGGAAATTTCCGAAGTAAAAGGACAGTGCTTGGCAGGACTTGTTCAGGATGTCGCTGTCTGCAGAGTTAATGATGAGTTACGACTTAATTGACGTTTAATAGTAGAGTCAATTTTTTCCTTTTTTTGCCTCCCGCACAACTACTGCGGGGAAGTATCGGAGGTCAGGTAAACATACAATGAAATGTAGGTGAACGTAAACTGATGATGACTAATGCTGACGGATATATGGTACTCAAAAGGAACGTCATTTGACTCTCCCTTGTCTCAAAGTTGAGTTTGACGGTTCTTCCGCTACGAGTATAGTAACCGCTCGTAGAAAAGTCATTTCATCCCCGTTGTCGTCGTTGTTTACCGCAGAAGTTTTGCTTCATTCTGCAGACTTTTCTAACCGACAGAGTTTTATTTCAATCGAGGATCTTATTAGACCACGCTTTTCGGACTCAGATTTCAAACCAGTGTACTCAATGATGTGGTGCAACACAATTTAAAAACTTGTCGCTCTAATTTAAAAACTGCCGGCCATTGCAAACAAGATCCCCAAGCAAACCCGATATGTGTTAGCTCCACGAAAATAAGAGTTGAATTATGATTGGTTGAAAAAAACTGACTCATCAGCTCACGGAAATCGTTTCCCAGCTCGGGATCACAGACGCCCTTTTCTCGGCTACGATTCAGTGGCGTTTGTTCCACTGAACCGTAGCCAACAGTTACCAGCGCCGTACAAACGACTTATTGACGAGATCAAGCAAAACTAACTACGAGAGAATGACAATTTGACTAACAATAGACGACTGTTTAACTGTGACAATAGAGGGATCGAAACGCACCAATTACTGATTACGAGTCTTCATAGCCAATAACATCACCGCTTAACTGACAGACGACCGATAACATCACGACGTAATTGACCAATCAAATCAATAACCAGAGTATAATACCATCAACTGACGTGATACAACTCACTTTGACTCTGAACTACTGATGGCGTGTCCAACAGCTTTGCAGTCAGTGACAGAACAACAACAGTCCTATTCAGGACTACGTTCACCCGGACGATCAAACTCAACCTACTTTTGAAATGACTCCTGGGTTCAAACCTTTCACAATAATAAGCAGGTTAGAATATTTCTTAATAAACTCTACATTTAGTTCAATAAACTCTTTGATTAGTGGAA